TTGTATGGAGAGCTGGAGAGTGAACTGTTAGTGTCAGCTATATCTTTTAAACTGGTTTATTTAAACATTTCAAAAGCAAACTTTCATCTCGCTTTGACCACTGAAGGGTTTTGAAAGCGAGTTGCAAGTTTTTTTTTGCAGCGACAACAAGCACCAACTCTGTGTGATGATAGCTCAAAGCAAACAGACACATTTTCAGATAAACCAGGAGCTCCAGTTTCTCTAATTTTCCCTAAGACCCTCTCTTAGCTGCTGATATGGGTCTTTATATAGTCTATGAGTTGTTGTTGTCATCTCCAAGATTTTTTTCACAGTGCCTAGAGCACGCCTATTTATATCCACTGTGTCCACTGAAGATGATTGCTGGTTATTTTTCTTACCTTTTAAGATTTCATATTTGAGAGAACCAGGCCTTTAAATAAAACAGTCTTATATTAGAGAGCTTTATTGCTTTGACTAAGACAAATGGTATTTTGGTGTTAATGAAGAGCTCTGAACTCAAAACCTCCTTCATGCTTACCTGTTACATCTTAATACATTTAGGATAAAGCCTATTACACAGCATTAATTTAATCAGCACAACAACACAGTCACATCATAGTCACTGCATCCTTGGTCCAAAATTCTTTGTTTAAGAGAAATCATCTCAGTCATTTGTTTATTCCAGTTGACTGAACTTACCATTTTTTTGATCGGTGTTTATTAATATTAACACGTCCTGCATAGATGTTTCACATTTAAAGTCTCCGAGCAACTCAAATGGGATAATCCTTCCCCTTCCTGGTTTTGGTTTTATTGATAGTAGCTTAACAGCGATAGAAAAGAAAAACCGTCAAAGTAGAAGCGATTGTAAGTAATTCATAAGTGAGAAGAGCAGTTCTGTTTAGAAGAGAAATTCAGCTAGTAACTCAGGCTTTTAGTTCAGACTTCGTCATTATTTGAAAATAAATTTAGTATTTTTTCTCTCCGAATTTACGGTAAATCAGCATCACTAGCAAATCAAACCATCTGAGAGTGTATCGCAGTCACACCCTCAACGGGAACGATGATACAGAGTTAAAACAGCAAAGTCGAATGGGAGATGTAAAAGGAAGTGAAAGGTAACAGAAAAAGGAGAGTAAAAACTTGAAAGCCAGCTGGCTGACCTCTAACTCACTGAGTCGGTGATTGAGAAGAAGGCAGTATTTTACTCCCTCCCCAAGGGGGTTAAGAGAACACAGCAGATTGGGAAAAAGTTATATAAAGGAGAGAAAGAGTCCATCCTACCACTATTTCTATCATGACACTGCTCTCCACTATTTCTCTCACTCGTTGTCTCTATCTCCCTCTGTGAGATTTGACAGCAGGATGATAAACTACCTACCAGTCATGCGTCTACAGTAGACTGATGATTGAGGGAGTAGAGATCTTGTATGCAGCAGCAGCAGTGGGCTTCACTAACTAGGACTGAGTGCGAAAGGACATGACTGCGTGGCAAAGGGCCAAAAACAGCCATAGTTTCTCGCCACATCTGTTTCATTTCAGACAGATGTTCTGCAGACTGGCAGGCTCAAAGGGCACACTTGCCCTTTTTTGTTCTAGTCTCTTGGTGTGGGTGTCACCTAGATCCAACCTTCTGTAGTTCTTTGTCCTTGCAGATAAGCAGTACTATCAGTCTGTGAAATACCTGCTGGTAATCAGGGGGCCCCCCCTACCTGGTGCTCCACTGTTGCACAGACGCAAAATACAAGGCAATCAACTACTAACAATATTGTTAACAATAAGGCCACAACCACACAACCACACAACTATGCCCTTTAACAGAATCCACACAGCACACTTGCCTCTGTCTCTCTAACCCATGTACACACGGCCACAACCTAAACCCAACACACGCATACTTGTGTGTCACTGTACAATTTTTCAACTTAGTTAGTAAGTAATGAACTTTGCTTTCTCTTTGACATGTTTTTCCGACTTGATGCGTACTGAGTCTGTGTTTTTAACCGAGTTGAGTGTAACCATAATGTTGAGGCAGAAAAAAAAAGCATTTCAGGCATTTCAACCCTAACCCATTTGCAACAGTGCTCATGGCCTTACTAGAAACAACCTGGTATTTATTGGCAATCAATATTTTGCAATTTGAATAATGAATACTGGAAATAGATTAAAAAAGACATTGGTGACAAGTAACAAATACATTTTTAAAGGTTTCCCTCCAAAAATTGTGCTGTTGAGGCATTCAGGGGGTCTCAAGTGTCACACCTTGATTACTATACACTATTATGATATAAATAAATGTGAAACGGATCGAAAAATGATACTCAGGTGAAAGCCAAGGAGCTGCTTCAGGCGGTGTTTAAAGATAATCTCTTCAGTTGTGATGTTATTGATTATTCAGCTTTTGATTTTTTATATGTGTCTGAGCCTCAGTGCAAATGACCAGACAGACCTTGGCTTTAACACGGTTTTCTGAGATTCTGCTGTGTAGGGGAAATGTCTGATACCAAAACACTTGACACTACTGACGCTTATTGCCAATGACATTGTTAGTGTAATGTGATACGTTGTAGAATTTGGCTCAGTTTGTCTTTATCTCCGCATGCTGACAGCTACAGGATGAGCTGCACTGGGAACAGGAGGACATAAAAATGGAAAATGTGTTGCACAAGCAAAATGCAAAAGACAACCGTGTACTAACTCTCACACACACACACGTGGACACTTATATTCACACATACACAGAATCACTGTTAATAATTCAGAAATATAAATATGTGTGTGTACAATACATAATTTAGGTCATGTGACCACATTTTAATTAGTGACATTCACAGTAATAAATTAGAGAGAAGGACAGTGTGTGTGCGTGTGAGTGTGAGAGTGTGTATTGGGTGTTCTCAGTAACCAACCTTATCTTAGACTGGAAATCTAATTATTAGCACACAGCAATTTACAGTACGGCATCTGTGTGCAGAATGTCTGCATGTGCACGTGTTCAGTCATGCATCGCATTCTTATCTCACTCTACAATATGCATGACAGATGATTCAGCCCAACTGTAAGGATGTTTTTTTGAATCAATATTTATATAATGATATAATGATATAATACATTTCAGAAAATGACACCTCACAGTGGCCATCACAAGCACAATAGATATTTGAGTACCAGACAATAGGTAATTGTCTCAGTAAAGACGACTGTTAAACTTCTCTTTGTTATTCTAGCAACATTTTAAACTACAGTAATGTTCCCCAACTCAAAATCTCGGTAATTTACATGAATCAAAGACAGACGATTTCTAAGAATAGTTTCCTATTTTGCATAATTTTTTTCCTCATTTAAATAAATTATTTCCTTCTTTTTTGCTTATTTATATGCAGGCTAAGTTGTAAAATGAGAGACAAACGTTTTATGCCATATTACAGAGCAGTCAAGGACAACTAACATCTTTGCATGGAAGAAAAAGAGGGGGATTAAGTGTGCCACGCAAAAAGAAGCATGTTAGCAACTCCATGTAGCATCTAAAAAATCCATTCAGAAAGCAAGCTTTTATATATTGTACATCCATGCTGTCTTTTGTGTTTTTTTATTACATTTTTTGCACTTGTGTATATTTCTTCTTTGATGTGTTCAAGGATTTCATTGGTATTTATGTGCGTCATTGAGAAAATATATATTCATACACACACTGTCTTGCTCCCTTCTCTCTCTAGCACACACACATATGCACACATACATACATGCATAACTAAAATAGGAACATGTAAATATCTTTGGAGGAGTGATACGATCTATGGTTTAGTGCACTGTTTTAGGTGCGATGATTAGCTCACAGCAGGTGCTAGTTTGCCTCACAGCCCCTGGAGTGTTTCACAGGAAATACCAGCTAATTGCTGCAGGTGATAACGCCACACAATGAGGCGACCACCTTATCGCATGAGAAAAGAAAAATAAGGTGCTAAGTAAATCATTTGTCCCCACTTGTGCACTTGTGGAGTTGAGAAAATGGGTGAGAAAATATTACCAAATTACCGCACACAGACATCAACATTACGTAATGGCCCTGTTTTGACCGTATACTGTAGCTTGCGTTATTGGATATTTGTAACCTGACGACACTTTTTGTGCTGTGTTTACAAACATTACTGCTGTTGATATTGTATTTAAAGAGCTGTCAATCAACACTGTTTGTAATTTACATTTAGTTCCTTTCAAGGTATAATACTTTTTTATTTTTATTTTTTTAAAGATTAGTTCTGGTCTGCTTTTTTTTTCAGCAATAGCCATTCACTGTATGTGCACAGTGTAAATGTCTCTCTTTATAGTTTTTATTGTTTCTAACCTCTCCCATGTAGGTATAAAATTGCATACTCATGGGGGTTTATGAGAAACCAATGCAGGCACATACTGGACTTTTTGTTAAATTCAGGAATAAAATCAGTATTACTTTGTCGGATGATAGTGTTGATTTTTGCACAGCTGTCATGTTTGATTCTGTGGATTGTAATAAATTATTAGACTGTATATATATATAATCCTAAATAACTTAAATGTATATATATGTATTAATGTGAGAGTGAGGACTTTGAGATCTTTTGTTACTGATGTGATTTTTGGTGGTGGGTGTACATGTTTACAGTAGGATTACAGTATAGATTGTGACTTTAAACACTTCAGATCATTGCATATAAAAACAGGATTTATCCAGTCCACAGTGATTCTGAAGGGGAGGTTGGGTAATACTGTATGTTGTCTGACAAATTGATGACTTCCCAGCAACAGCCACATTCATTAACCAGTGGGTATTAGGATCACCAGGATATCTGCTCATTCCTGTGTGAATCAATAGCTGTAGAGGTCATGGATGGTGCATTTTCTGTACATGTGAGAGTGTGCATGTGTGTATGCATACTATCCAACGCACCCCTCCCTAACCCATCAATATCCTCTCTCTGCACCCCCTCCATCTTTCTCTCGCTTTCTCCCCTGCCCTCACCTCTGTGTCTCCCACCTAGATGGTGTATAAGCCGTGGCTGTGTTCTCAGTACTTCCAGACCACCCAGATGCACTGCAGTAAGCGAATCCCCTGTGGTCAGTACTGCCTGGAGGTGCAGCAGCGGTGCCCCTTCGTCCTGCCCGACAATGATGATCTCATTCATGGAGGCAGCCCCAGTTTTATATGCACAGGTATAAGAAATCATCTTACAATTCATTCTTCTTTTTGTTTGTATGTCCTGTGTTTGTTTTCCTAGGCATTGGCCTACATATAGCTGCCTAGTGTAACTAACTTTGACTGGGTAGAGGAGAGCTTCGTTGACTATTTGAGTGTTAAAAGAGCATTACTTCCCCTAATCCCTGGATTCGAAACTACCAGTAACAAGCTTCTCTATCCACCTCATGTACTGTAGATCATGCTCTTGCCTTAAGTAACTTACTATTCAATGAGTGAGCACATACAGTAGGGAGCATAGCGTCATGCTCATGATACTTCAATAGGACACAAAATCTCTGATGGACACACAGTGAACACTTGTGACTTTACAGTTACAGGATGTTCTGTCTAATCACTGGACTAACAGGGTGATACACCATCGAAAGAAGAAAGAAATTGTTGCCAATTATTCACAGCACCAAGAGGCAGCAGAACAGTTGAGCACTGTGACAGAAAGTCTGCTCGGTCTGTACTGAACAGCATATAGCACTCTGTGGGTCAGTGTTGGTTAGTGAATGCAATGCTTACTTTCAACCCGACACACACACACACACACACACACACACACACACACACACACACACACACACACACACACACACACACACACACACACACACACACACACACACACACACACGCATACAAATCTGAATCTTAAATAAATGGTTAACCTTGTCTCCATGTACATGTAAGTTGAGACACCCACAGTATTACTGTGTGAGCAGATTTTTGTCCCTGAAACATGATTAAAACAAAGACAAACACTTAACTCACATGTTAATGCTGCCCTCTGGTGGTCTTGTTGAGCATCAGGTTACATTCATGTACAGTATGACAGAAGAAATTCAATGTAAATGTTTGTTATTTGTGTTAAAAAATGTATGTATTTATGAAGAATATTAAATAAGGTTGCTTTTATCACTCTTTGAATTTGACATTAAAGGCTGGCAATGCTGTATAGTTTTGTAGCTGAAGTCAATTCGTTCCATCTGAAGAAATCTTTAAAAATGCATCACATATCGATACTTTTACATTTAAAAATCATTTTCTAAAACAGCTGGGTGCTGTAGTTCTTGGCAGGAGTAAATGGTACATTTGTTAGAGTTTTCAGCTGTAGATCAATACACTAGTGAGTGTTAGCAGCAGCAGTATGTAACTGTATGTGGAATTCAAAATAAACTACAGTGCCCGTGTTCATCTTAATGAGGGAACATGTCATCCAGTGCAACGGTGTAGCTTAGTGATGCATTTTTAATCATTTTTAGACAATTGGAGGTGAGGTCAAAGGCGTAAGAGTAAACATCAGGATTTGACTACACAGATACTTGTTAGTAGGATCACTAATAGGTTCAGTGTGTAGAATTGAATGGCATCTGGTGGTGGTTCTACATGGCGGACTCCGCAGAAGGCGACCTGTGGTGTCTGTAGATTAAAAAAAGGCCTTCCTGTATTCAGGTAAATATACACTAATGAAAAAATAGTTATGAATAATATATTCCAGTTCTGCCAATAGATCCTCCTAAATGTTACACACTGGACCTTTAATTGGTTTTAGTCTTTTCATGGGTTTTTCTGAAAAGATGAAAAATACAAGATATTGTTTTTGGCACTTTTATATCAATAACTTTGCAAACATGGTCACTCTAAATGCATATTTGTCAGAAACATGCAGTAATTACATGGTTCCTCTTGTCACATTTAAGCTGTTGACAGTCAAACTGTGCTGAGTGGGCGCACAGTTCTTCAACTTTCTATTCTCACATTAGCATGCACACAGGCCGTGACCAACCCTGTTTGCTTATAATGTCAGTGAAGACAGTGTCAGATAGGTGTTTGTGATGTCAGTCCTTATGTCGATGAAGCATACTTTGATACATAATGCTTTTGTTGCTATGTTGAATGTATCTTTAGTATGTACTGTACTTTGTGTTTCCATGTTTCTTGTTTGTTGCTTTACATTTTTGGTATTTTGGTAGTCTCCATACATAAAAAGCACTTCTGTATTGTGTCTAAAGGCTTAGTCACAAAGTCAAAGTTGTCTTTAGTTATTTAATTGAATTGCAGAGCAGAACAGAAAAGAGAGGAGTCAAAGTCAGCCTTTTCCTAATTACTATAATTCCTTATTTTTTAGAGTTACCTGAAAACTTCTTTTGTGTTGTTAACTCAGTTACGATTTGTTATGTATGACTTGCAGTGTTTCCTGTATTTGCAGAGGATGTCTTTGTGTCTGTGTGTTTTTTTTGTTTTGTTTTGTTTTCTTACATTGTAGTGCTCTGAGCTGTATGGCTGCGGTGCTTTTCAACCATAATTTCAACTTGAAAATGAACAAGTTCATAGAAATTCCTTCTCACTGAAGACTGTTGTTGTTATTGTCTTTTATATCTTTTGATTCTCAAAGCAGTGCTTGTGGGGGAAGCAGGACAAGCAGCAATACTCTTTTACTGACAGGAAGCAAGTACAGGATTTAAAAATCTTTAAGGCAACATGTGAGCTGTGAGCTAACTGTTTATATCTCCACCACCACCACCAACCCCCTTCCCCCAAAACAACCCCCAGGGCTGCTGGAGGACTATCCATCAGGTGTGGACCCAGATGCAGAGTGCTGTGACGTGCGGTGGGACTTGAAAGTGGACAACCGTTCCCGGGGTACCCTGAAAAGAACTCACCCGCCATGCCAGCACCGTACCTCCCTCAGCTCCTCGGCAGCCTGCAGACTGTGTAACAGCCGGCTCAAACTCTGCCTGCTGGTCCTCGTCCTCCTACACACTGTTGCCAGCCTCACTGCATCCCACAATGCAACAGGACTGGGCCTCCCCGCCATCACGCCTCTGGAGGAGAGCCCTGCCAACGAGGAGTGATAGAGCTGCCAGGAGGAGGTGAGGTTGTTGGGGTGGGGGATTCCCTCGCCATGGCAACCAAGTGTGGAAAAATACATCCACAGTTGTGCTAACGGCTGGAGCTGTGTGCCTGTGGACATTCTGCAACGCTTTCTGGCAAATGGGAAATGTGGGACGCTTTGAGACGAAAGACACACAAATCAATCAAAATAAACAAATACGTAAACAAACAGACATACTAAGGGACTCAACCAGTCCCTTAGATAGAAAGGGGACAATGCCACAGCCTTTGTTGAGTGGGAAGGTCGGCTTCCTCATGGCTGAGTTTCTCTCACTACGCTTTTTTACACTGTGTTCCAATTATTGGTTTCTGTTGCACTGGCTGACTATGGAATAACACAATCATATTCTCTTTCTTATGTTCATCCTTTGTGTTTGTTTTGGGGTCTCTCATACAGGAAGAAAATGTGTTCTCTAAATAAGACAGATAATGTGTAAAAAAAATAATTAGCTGCAAGTGGTGAGTGTGTGATTGTTTCTGTCTCTAGATTTTGCTGTGTGTGTGTACGAGCATGCATGGGCGTGTGTGTGCTTGTGTGCATGTCTTTACGTGTGTGTGTGTGTGTGTGTGTGTGTGTGTAAGAGAGAGAGAGAGGATGAATGTGTTGCTGACATGGACCCTAAAAGTCTACCTAACAGGCTGGTGCAGCGATGATGCCCCCACCGCCCCCCTCCTCAGATGTCACTTAGCTCTGCCATGCTGGTTTGTTGGCCACAATCCCATTAAGATTTCATTGGGTTTTGAATGGGGTTCGGATGTCCATCATAAGCACTGTGTTTAACACAGGTTTATGGTTTTCCCTCACTTTGTTTTGTGAGATAATATTTATAGATGTTCCTATACTATTTTTTCCTCATTGATTCCGATACCTGAATTTTGCGTATCGGCTGACAGCAAATATCAGTCCGATACATGCGCGTTTTGAAATAGATATACAGTAAATATTTATTAACTAACCTGTATGATTGCTATCTTTGTTGTATGGCCTGGCTTAGGTCAAACCCTTTGTCAGAGTAGGTCATAAATTCACTATCTAGAAAAAATGGCATATCGGGCACTGCTAGGAAGTATAATAATATTTACCTATTAACACCCTTTTCGAGGATCAAAACATTTCTATAATTAGCATTAGTGAAAAGCTAACACCTGGCTAAACTGTGAAAAAACATGGGGAACAAATGGGATGCATACTTCCAATGTTACCAATGCTCAGTGTCTCGAAGGATATCTTGATTCCTATCACAGCACTGTATTCACTTGCTTTCAGAAAGTGGGACGACAGTGATAAAATGAGATCTCACAGTGAAGAGACACTAGCATTCACTGTTTAAACAAACCTCTGGTTAGTCAACTTAAGACTGAGTGTGCACACATCCTGTGCAATCTGCACAGTGCACTCTTATTTAGATAATCTGGCTAAACTGAATTCTTTCCCCAATAAATTTCATTGCAGCAATGTTGATCAGTAGTTGTTGAGAAAAATGTTATTATAAAAAAAAGAAATGATGGCCATAACTACAAAAGTAAGATGCAAGCTGTAATAAACCAGAAGGATCCTTTAAGTTTCAGGCTATTACTATGATAGGACCGGGTCATATAAACAAAATAAGCATCAGAATAATTTAAAATCATTACAAATTGACCATAAATAATTATTGATTGATTATTATATGTTGAATTAACATGGTTTAACGCTGCTAAACTAAAGCATTAGCCTTCCTCGTGTTGCACTCTGCTGTGTTTTGAATTAACAAAAAGTAATTGGAAGTAAACATTGTGACATCAGCAAATATAGGAGGGTCAGGGAACCGCTACGCTGGTGTTGGTAAATATTTTATTCACTACCATTTAATAATGCTATTACTATTACTATTAAAGGCACTAGCTCACTAATTAGTGCACATGAAAGCTAAATAAGCACACAGAATATTTTTATCTCACAGAACAAAACATGAAATTGTGTTAAGCTTGTCTTAACCAAAGATGTGATTTCAGGCATTTTACCAAAACCTCATTCAGATTCTGGTCACTTTTCAGCAACGTTGCTGAGCAAAGTTAACTGACATCAGGATTTTAGCAGTGGATTTTAGCTGCAGATGACAAAGCTTTTGTTATTTTAGAGTTTAAAGGTAGAATCCAATCAAAATAATGTTGTAACATAAAAAAGATGGTTACTGAAGGTTCTTCTGTCTTCTCTGCCTCAAAAGCCTCAGTTATTTTCTGTCTCCCTGCTGGTGGCATTTGATTAATAATCAAATGTAAAAAGCAGTTCAAGTATATTTCATTTTATTCTATCACCACTACTGCAAATAACTCAATTTACTGTTTGCCCTTGAACCAACGCTGACGTCTGTATGAGTGGTGTCATTTTAACCTCAGGCCTTTTTATCCACAGGAAACATGACTTAAGGACTTTTTATTATGATTGAACTGAACTGTAATTTCCATGCAGTTATAATGAAGCTAATATCAACATTTTGCTAGGAAAGGTAGCATGCTACCTGCAGTATAAAGGAAAAAACCCATAACATTAATATTAGACTGGTTATACAATAATGACATTCTACATCACACCAACAGACACAATTTGTTCAAAATGGTCAGTTTGTTTCTGTTGAAACAAAATGTGTAATCCATTTTCAGGAACTGCATGTGGAGGCTCTCTGAAAGGTTATCACGGTCTCTTTTGTTGATTTTTGTTCTCAGCCCCAATCCACACCACATCTGATCCCAAATCAGCTCCTGTAGCACGCCCACCGTCTTGTACTTTTCTCTTCAAATGTCTCATTGAGTAAAGGGCTTATTAAGATATACAGTACAGACATTACCATCAACATGGTCAGACACACTTGACAACATGCACATCCAAATTGTTAGCAGAGAAAAGTTAAAATAACGTGGCTCATTTCCGTTTTTTTTTTTTTTTTTTCCTATACACCTGCAGTACAGAGGTGTTCCACTGGCTGTTAGCTGGAGAGCAGTGGAGAGCAGGAACAGAAACAAATCCAGAGAGAGGAGCGCGTCACTGTTTGTGTAAGCACTAATGGCCTAATCTGATAATCGTCTAAGTCAGCTGACACTGTTTATTTTACAAATGTTGACCAGCATGTGAACAGAAAGGAATGGTGTGACCTTAAGGGCTGACTTCTTCTTTTAGTTTTTAGATTTTCTTTGGTCTCTTCGATGAACAAGGCTGTGAGATCAGGTATTTGAAGATAAACAGATGTTGCTGAATGCATTTTTTTTCACTCTCAAGTATGTTGATTACTTAAATGAGATGTCCAATCCAATATCTGATGTCAATTTTATTATATAACTTATATGGGGATTTAAAATTCATCATTAATCACGCCATGTCTATATAACCAGAATGTTGGCTTCTTTTGACACTTATGCTGTTTAGACCCTGCCCCACTCTAGACTTCACCATTCCTGCTTGCATGAAATACATAACTGCTCATTGTCATTCAGCACAGCACACCCATGCCCATCTTGGATGACCGCATCCAGTGATAGAAAAATGCTGCTATTCTATTGGCGACCAGTAGATGGAGATATTTTTATTCTTTTATATTGCTACTGCTGCTGAAGACCTACCACACAAGGACTGTCATATACACAGGATTCAGGAAAGCCAAGTTCTGGAAGACAAGGTGATGGGCCGGCGGAAAAAAGTGTGCTGTTGTGCGTGCGTGTGTGTGTAATGTCTGCGTCTGCGTACGTCTGCGTATGCAGAGATGTGTGTTTGTCGCTAATTGCTGTGTGTTCTCTGGAGAACTCATTAGCATTGCCACGACCTTGGGGCCTGCAGGACAAGTGTGGCAAACCACCACTGTCCTTAAGCCCCACAGGGACCTGCTGCATTAGTGGTCTCATTATTCACTGCAGCCCCAAAGCTGCATGGACTGTAAGATGAAACCATTGTACTGTACAATGTGTAATAACTGTGTCAGTGCCCCAAGAATCAAAACAGACTAGGATAGGGGTAGATCTATGTTTTCCCTGCATCTGTCTAATTGAATATTCCCCCAAACCTTGTCTGAAATGAGATAGAAGATGTCAGAGGCAGTGCACAGAAGTGGACAATGACCTGAAACTGGTGCCAAAGCAAACCTTGCATTGCGTAACATAAACTGAATTCAAATCTGATATGACATGCTGTTTTTCATGACCAAACATAGTGGGACAACAGGAGGAAAACAGGGTCTGTCAGTGTCGTAGAAATGTGCCATGTTAGCCAATATATGGACTGCACCTCATAAGCCTCGCACAACGCTCACCTAAAACACATGTAAGGGATCTCTGGAAGACATTCTGTACATGTGATTTCATTCATCATGTCAGCGGTCATGCTGTGATGTACCATCACACACCAACTGTTGGACATGTATTCACATGGTAAACCTGCATTCAAAAGTCATTCAAAGGCCATGTATGCTTTACATGCAGAAATGCATCCTCGCCATGGTTGCATGGGTACGAATGCTGTGCATATGTGTTGTCCTTCATACCCCTTTCAGACATGCTTGCACCAAGGATGGACATTTTTGTGTGCAAGATTTCTCCCAAACAATACTAGAATTACATTTGACTGATGTAAATCTCTGATTTGACTTTTATTGGTAATGCAGGCATGCACGCAACAGTTACTCTGCTGTTATAATTCTATTTGTTGTGTGTTTTGGTTTGTTAATTTTTTACTGCATTATACTGAGAAATTGTGTAGGGTCCTTTAGATTCAGTCTAGATCCCCGACAATGGTCTGTAGCAGTCGTAGGGTATGGTCTGTCACATTTCATAACATACCAACCTACAAAAACTAATTTTGTGTTTTACCCCTGCACATATATACTATGTATGCCTCTTGCCCCTAACCCCCTGTGCACCCACCACCAAATGGTATGTACACAAATATTGCCCTCTTTCACTCCCTCTCAGCCTCTCTCTGTTCTCACAATAGTTCCGTTCTCTATCCTGTGGATCTATGCAGAAGCCCATTCCTTTTTTGGTTGTAAATACGTTCCCTAGTATGCTGAACAATGTATGTCTTTGCGTCCAGGTTTTCTTGTGTATTTTGAGTTGATGTCATGCCGTTACTTCCTTCTTCTTCTTCTTCTAATTCTTTTTTTATTTTAAGCGTCTGAAATCATTGATGTTAAAAGAGAATGTGGTGAGGTTTAACCAATAGACTTGTCCTCAGCTTTGCAACCTTATTGTGAAAGGTTGTGGTTCTGTGTGTGTGAAAGCGAAAGATTTATGATTATAGAAATGAAAAAGGTTCAAAGTCATATAGAAGTATCATTGCGATTATGATTATTATGATTACTATTATACTACCAGTATATTGTAATATTATAGATGCTTTAGTTCAAGTAACTTCTTTAATTTTTTTACAAACAACTTTGATGAAATGATTTATAAAACAGTCTCACAAGTCATGATCTTTTCGAAAAGTATGAAAACTACTGCTACAATGATTAAAATTGTGTTCTGATGAAAATAAATACAGACATATAATCTGTTCCTCTGTTGTGTTTTTGTATGCTGTGACATTTTTCCAATTAAGATTCAAAGCAGCATTGATAACAATAATGTCTCAACATCTGACAACTGCCAGTGATCCCTAATGATGCACTCTGCTGGTGGACAACAAGGATGTTAAGTTCAGCAAAGGTAACGTATATTGTAAGTTGGAACCTACCTTTCAGTATTTAACTTTATGCAACATATGAAGAAATAGTGGAAACAGTGGAATCATTATATCTCTTATACTCTAGTTAACTTAATAAATGTTAATATATTTCAAAAAATGTTAGTCAGTTTTTACACCACTATTTGCTTTTCAATCTTTAAAGCTAAACTGGTGATGGTGATGCAGATGCCATAATATATCGACTTTAATAATGATGTAAATGTCAGTCAAACTCTATATATTCAGTACTCTGGACTTTAGTGTTGGCTGAATAATGGGGATGCACAGTTAACTTTTTTTTTACTGATTTTATCTTAACACAACAGCACAGTATTGTATAGTAATGAATTTAATCCATTTTGGAATAAGGCTGTAACATAACAAAATGTGGAAAAGGTGAAGCGCTGTGAATACTCTCCGGATGCAATGTATATGAATTCAAGTAACCAGATATACTTAAATGGCTAAATAGCTTAGTACAAACAAATGTTCCCATGATTGGGTTACTATTACACCTATGCCTCATAAACCAAATCAACAAATGAACAGGAAGGTTATAATAAACTAGTTTCAAATACACACAACAGATACAGATACATTATACTAAGACATACATGATTCTTGGCTGTAATAAAGGTCCACTTTGCACTCTGTTCTGCTGTTGTGCCTCTTGCTACTGCTATTTATTACTGACTACACAGCTCAATGTGCTCAACAGCACAGCTGCACACTCTGCCACAAGAGGGCACTTGTATATCAGTCAACAGCCTTTCCAACACCACAAGCCCTGCCTCTAATGTAAAGCCTGTGTTAGAGGCTAGAGTTAGTAATGTAGTGTCCAAGCATAAGCTGACACGGTGCAATGTAACTGTGACGGGCTTTACAAGCCATAATTCACTCTGCCCCTCTCACAAAGATTTTGCTTTCACCCTGTATATTTACTCACACATATATATTCTCTCATGTAGAAGTTAAATTTAAAATCAACCTACTCACATATTAAGTGTCACTTTCACACATATAAACTTGACACTCGCATGTATTTTGTCTCATCTTTTCTGGTATCCATTACTTTCACTGACACAGGAAGTTCTTCCTCCAATAGGAAATCACTCACAAATGAGGAAATTCATGAGGCCAAGTGAAAGTGGACCATCTCTCTCCATAATGGCTGTCAGCGTCTATGGAAGAAGCTACGCCAGATGTCATTAGGTTGAGTGACGAAATCATTCAAAAAGAAGGAAATTATTTTCCAGGAAGACAGTGAGTGTTGCAGAAGCTTTCCCTTTTGGGTGCGTCCTTCAGGACAACTCTGACATGGAAAGAGGGGTCAGCTGCTGCTTTGGTTAGCAGGTCGGACCGAAAGGGTTTACATTGAGGAATTATATGTATAGTATTACTGAGCTGGCTGAGAAGGGATAGAAACTGGCGTTTGGTGCATCCGTCTGCCAGAAGATAGACTGACGGAGGTAGAGTGATTCTCTGGCAGAGACGTCTGATAATGGAGGCCAGGGTAATACCTAAAACTCTATGGGGGTATGTAGGGAGTATGTCTTTGCTTAGCGATTGAAGAATGGAGTGCTGGGAGGTATTGGATTAAAGGATAGGGGTGAGGATTGAGGGATAAAGGGATAAGGGAATGAAGGGATGTTGGTTATTAGAGAAACATCGGGAGGAGTGGAGACCATATTGCTGTGTATAGCTGAAGAAGGGGTAGAGGAATGGATGCTGGGAAATTATGTGTGTGCATGGGGCTTCTGTGAAGCCTCTGAACACAGGAATGGAAAGAATGAAGAAAATGAACTGAGGAAGGTCAGACATATAGGAGGCAGGCACGGGTGAAATACAACCTCGCCCCCTATGGGGAACTGATGGTACTGGCTGTGACACTAGAGGGGGTGGAGACACTGTGATGCCCTGTGGGATGATCCTGGAGATGGTTGCCTCTGGCGAGGATGCCAGAAATATGGAAGGCTCGGTGTTTGTTGTTGCTGAAATGAATTTGAAACAACCTGGCTTTTTTAGAGCATGTTGGAGATTGGCCATGGCCCAGTCTCTGATGTTGGGTTTGTATTGTGGATGTGAAGATAGCTGATGCAAAGAGGAGGGTGCGCCATGATGGATTGCTGGGAACTGTGCCTGTGGGAGGTGACGGATAAAGAGAGGGTTGGATACAGTACATGATGGGTTGGGCACAGTGGCGTGCACGGGGGGGGGGGCTAAACTGCCCTCAAGTGCCCTCTTGGTAGCCAAAATGCGTGCTAAAGTGTCCTCTTGGGAGCCAAAATGCTTGCTAGAGTGTCCTGTTGGGAGGCAAAATGCGTGCTGATGTGCCCTCCTGGTTGGCAAAATACACTAAATTGCCCTCTTGGGTGGAAAAAACACTAAACTGTCCTCTTCTAAGTTCTATTATTAGGTAGAGATGCCTATTGCATGTTTAAGGAGGAGCTACCTCACTACGTCTTGTGGGAATAGCTTTTCAAAGCTAGCAAGAAAAGTTAAAAGTTGGGTTAGCATTGCATATCAGGGTTTCTGCCAGGTTTAAGTTGACTCCCCGCCGGGGTAAGCATCTGGGATCATTTTTAAAAATGCTTTCTTGAAAATGCCTTTTGAACTTCAGCTAGCAAGTTAAGGACAGAAAGTCTTGTTAGTATAAGGTGACCAGATTTCCGAAATGAAAATCAGGGACATTTTTTAGCGCGGTGGTCAAAATCGTTAATCGTTATCGTTATGAAATGAATAACAGGGGCAATTACATGTTAATGTATTTGACAAAGCAAATGAGTAGCCAATAAGAAGTTACCCTTAACCCTTCCAAACTGTTAACCAATATGAAGAACTTGGATTCTGATTTGACTCTGATTCTTCTTCTTATTATTATTATTTATAGTTTTTTTTTTTTTTTTTTAGCTATGTCAATCAACTCATGGGAGCTTGTCAACATGTGCACACTTCCACTCGTGACTTCAGCCATATTTCACAGCAAAGCATTACATGAGAGGATTTACACTTATGCTGTGCACTCCTTGTGATAGAAAGTCAGAACAAACTCTGAGTGCAACCTGCAACGCGTGCTTCCCCCTGTAAGGACGGTGCCCCTAAAATAAAATAAAAAAGGAGGCGCTCTCCAGCTGGCTCCCCCCATCACTCACCTGCAGCTGCACAGACAAGCAGAGGAGCGCTCTGCTGTTGTGGTGTGGATGTGCCGCAGCACAGCGGGAGCAGCGCGCGTGTGTTTTATAAGAAAAAATGCAAACAAAAAGAGACCAGCCGGTCGACACAAGCCATTTACCGCGCACGTAACGTCAGCACGTTAGTTAAACTGGTTTAACCATAATAACTGGAGTGTGCATCCATACGCAACTTTTTTTCTCAGCCATTCAAATCGGGGACATTTTCGGGGACAGCTTTAACCGGGGACAGGTCGGCCAAATCGGGGACTGTCCCCGAAAAACTGGGACGTCTGGTCACCCTATGTTAGTAGGCTAATGCTATTGAGTAGGCTAGCAGCTAATGCTAGCAGCTAGTTGAGAGGGAGAGAGAGACCCGTGTCAGAGAATGTCTAATAAGGAGAGAACTTCCACTCTCGGTAAACTTCTGGTTTCTGAACTGTTGCAGTTCCCCTCTGGTTCCATATGAGGGCGCTCACAGGATGAATGCAGAATGAATGGAGGTCTACGGAGCTATACCCCTCAAAATCCACTTTTCTCAGGATATAATATTTAATAATTTGAATGTTGCATTCGAAAGGGGATGCAAAGAAATTACACATTGCTGGGTGTTAGATTTTTAGAGTCACTTATTTGCTTTAAAAAGTCTTTTAAAATGTCAATGACGTCATACACATCGTACGGCCAGAGATACTGCTTTACGGCAAGCCTTGAATCACTTTGTGCTTCTGCCAGAGAATGTCTAATAATATCCATAGACGGGCTCTGCTTTGACAATTAACACAGGAGCACATACGTAACCTTTTTTTGTCCTTGGGAAATGAGAAATAGGACAACCCTTGCCCACTATTAGAACAATTTATCATTGCACACCTGCGAGGCATTTTCTTCTTTTTAAATTTTTATTGATATTGATATTTAGCACTATTGAGCGGGACATTGGTGTTTTTTGTTTTTTTTTAAGGTGGCACTACTGTACCATATGTATCCTGTATTCCTAAACACAAGAATAACACAACAAGTACTCAAATTCAATTTATTTCCCATGTAAATTTCACAGTACATATATAATGATGCCATCAACCAAAAAACATTGCTGCGTTAAAAAAAAAAAGGAACTTGGGCGAAAAAGTCTGCCTTAACATTCTGGTCCCGCTTCGGATGCCACGATGCCATCAAGCGGGATCTCTGGTCGTAATCAGTCCTTCACTGACCAATCAGCGTTCATTACTTCAGTTCAGTTCAGTTCAGGTTTATTGTCATATGCATATTTAGGACAGGGTACTGTACTTATCAGAATGCTAGCGTGTTATGGGCAACAACAACTCAACCTGTAAGAAATCGAAAGGACATAAGTACTCTAACTTTCGACCTATAAACAATGTTGAACTTGGAAAGACTACAATGAAATCTGAGATTTCTCAACGACAATCAGGTGAAAGAGACAAATTTAGCCTTCTAGCTCAATAGACTCCCCTTCATTTTGCACTCATGGGCGATCGCCCCCAGTGGAACTCTGGTGGAACTGCAACCAAAATTCGGTACAATGGGACTTAATACGGAGTGGCCAGGCTCTCCGTAGACGGGCTCTGCCCGTGTGATGATCAGCTAAGTAGAACAGCGCTGGGTGAGCATTATAAATTGTGAATGTAGCT